TAATTCATAAAATATATAAAAACACAGCATAGCTAATATTTATGCTTGGCAGAAGAACATCTGTCATCTGACTTGCCACATAAAAGTTTAAAGTAACTCATTAAAACACTAATAAATGCTCCAGTCTTGGGCAAAGCTACAGCTTCCTTCATGGGTTATACTCTAACATCTGACTGTCATAAAGTTGTCTTTAACAAACAGATGATCAGCAGTTTACACTGTAATGATAATATAGTAAGCCAAGGCCTCCTGTGAATAAAACTGTAATGATCCCTTTGGCCTGATTGAATCATCTGGTAAGCAACTCATTTCTAACCACTACAGACAAAAACAAACTATATGTGGTAGATATCAGATTTATTTTGTGGTTGATGTTGGAAATAAATGACAGTATGGTTTATTGTTTCTGAGCTGCTTTATGTAACTGCACTGACTGCAGCGATTTTTACTCAGGTCGAATGTATTTCTGCTGTTTTAGCTTCTGTTTTGTACACTTGAAGTCTTTTTAGGCTGCCAAGATGTCAGCTTTGATTTCTCTTTCTCTGTGTAGGTTGTATCGAGTTTTTGTACTTAATTCAGTGTTTCATCACTGATCAATGTTTTATCACTGTTTTATCTTGACAATTGAACAATTGCCTAACCACTTTTGTTCCTGTTAACAGAAGACTCCTGAGGTTTACTGGGTGTAAAAAAAGCTTTGAAAGGCTGCCCACAATTTATGCCTCTTGGATGTCGTCTGCCTGGTCTCAGCTCCGTTTATATACGAGTGTTTCAGTGAGGCAGTGTACAGTGAGAAAAAGCTCTTGATCTAAAACCGAGAGTGCATTTCACATCTTCCTAAGGAAAGCAACTAGTCAATATTTGGCCTGAGGTTATTTAATCTAGACAAGGAGTTTGATTCATACATTAAAATTTCCAATTACCTGTCAAGAGTTGAGCAAGCCCCGAGGACGCTGTTTTAATCATTCAGCTTTATCTAACTCTTAAAATTGAGTTTAACATGGATAGGATCATACATTCTGCCTCAGGGAAGGTGATACGCCTTAATTTGTTGTAAATAGTCAACATTTTATAAATCCATGTTTAACTACTTGTATGAAATACTCATCACTACTTTCCCTTCCCGTCCCCTCTATGTGGTCTTGCTGATCCAGTTAAAAAAATAAGCCGTACGCATGAATTATGAGCGACTAATAAATATTCACATCAGCAAATTCCTATATCTCATTAGCAGCAGCGTCGTGCACGGATGTATTCAAATAAGCGTGTCCATGAGCGGCATTCAAATTTTCTGGGAACTTTGAACTTAACAAAGCAGTTCTCTTTAATCAGAAGAACTTGAGCTGAGCACGGCTCAAATTGTCCACAATAAATTACGTTCTTTATAGAAAAAGTGGCTGCAGTACTGAGAGACTTTTAGGCCAAACTGGAGCAACTTCTTGCAGAAAAGAGTTGCCATATCTTCACTCAAGTCCGGGGTGTTGTTGTGTACAGTATGTGCTGTAAAGTCATCCTTAAGTATCCTTTTTTTTTCTTGCTTTAAACTTTAATATAAAACTGATGGCCCATGACATTAAACAAAACATTAGAAATGAAAGCTTATGTCGGTGTGTCCTTGGACCCCAGGTACAGCGTGCACCCTTGCCGAGAACAAAATCCTAAATGCAAAAATGATCTGAACAAACTGAGCTTCAGCCACTGAACATACAGGTGCAAAAAAGGGATGCAATTTAATCAACTTTTTTTTTTTCTCTGATCTTGCATGTAATTGTTTTCATCACTGTAATGCCACTTTAACTGGTGATATGTGACTTATCTGTACTGCTGATTATCCATGCTGCTGATCTCAAGCTGCTGTATTCATTCGTGCCTATCAGCTCACAACAGACTCATGTTCGGGCTGCTGTTTAATACACCATATTGTTTTACATTATTAGTGTTTAGTGTATAGCTTATATCTTTTAACGTATCGTTTAGTGTACAACTTAGATCCTTATACAGTAGTCTCTTGTTTATCGTGGGGGATCTGTACCCTGAAGACCCGCGATAAGTGAAAAACCGCAAAGTAGGAAGAGTAGTACAAGTAGTAAGTAGTAGTTTATTATATAAATATATATATATATATATATATATATATAAATATATATACAAGTGTTTTAAACCCTTCCCACATTATTGCAGTCTTCTAAACAATGTTTCTAAACTCTAAACACTCTAAAAGAGCACAGAATATCATGAGTTCAGCTCCCTGCCTCCTCTGCTCTTTGCCACCTGCAAGTGCTTTTGGCCACGCCCAATTCTCCGCTCTGCATGGTGAACAGCTGATCAGCTGCAGTAGGAAGTTTATCCTGCAGTATGGGCTTCACAAATATGCAGGAGGTGCTAAATAATTTAATATAATTTATTTTAAATAAAAATTCCATGCCGATTGTGCAGCTCATCCATCAGACAATTGTGTGTCATGTCCAGTCTTATTTTGAAAAACCATGATAGAGGGAGTCCGCAATAAACGAACCGCGAAGTAACCAGGTACTACCGTATACCGTTTCTTTTCATATTTTTGCTATTGTTGGGTGTAACTGGGACCTTGAGGCAGAACTGTGGCGCAACTGGTAGAGCTGCTGCCTCTCAGCAAGCAGGTCCCCGGTTCAAATCCTGGTCCAGGGGCCTTTCTTGGTGGAGTTTGCATGTTCTCTCCAAGGGTTTTCTCCAGGTACTCCGGTTTCCTCCCACAGACCAAAAACATGCATGTTAGGCCGATTGGTAACTCTAAATTTCGAGTTCGAGTGCAGTGTGAATGTAAACAGACCGGACCCCGCTCCGCAGGGTAAACAAACACGCATTTCTCTGACCTTATATGGAGCCGTCAGCTGCCTTGTGTAGAAAAACAATATTCTCCATGGTCTTCTGTCTCATCTTCTGCTCATGCTAAGTCCATTTTTGAAAAATGACAAAATATAATTCCTAAAACTGCTAAAACTTGATGCCACTTCGTTTTTGTTTTTATTTACAGAAGAAGTAGAAGACGTGTCTTCAGAGGTTTTTGTATCGTTTCTTTCAGTAGTTCTTGGTGCAGTGCCCCCACAGGCGAGCAGGGGAACAGGTCGGTTCAACAGGTTGACTCGACTGCACAGTGCAGTGTGAATGCAAACGCACCAGTTCAAATGTAAACAAAAGGTCATGAATATTGGTCTCAAACCGAACTGAGTCTACCAGACTATCTGGTGTGAAAACGACCTAGGTGTGAGTGAGAGAGTGAATGGTTGTTTGTCTTGTTTGTCTCTCTGTGTCCCTGTGATGGACTGGAGACCTGTCCAGGGTGTACCCCGCCCCTCGCACAGTGATTGCTGGACATGGGCAGCGGCGACCCCCATGACCCAAAATTGAAGAAGCGGGTAAAAGATAATGGATGGTTGACTGGACTGGGACCTTGAGTACACAATTTCATTCCACCTCATGTATTGCATGTGATGCGAATGACAATAAAGAACCTTGAACCTTGTAAGTATAGTTACAATAACAGCACGGACATCGTCTTTTATTTAGGAGTGGACATTTTGTCTGCTGAGGTCTTGCTTAAGTACCGTTTGTAGTTTACTGTATGTTAAAATAGATTATCGACCACATAGTGTTTTAGAATCCATTGTAAATAAAATTGCAGTGTTGTTGAGCTGATGAGGGCAGAGTGAATAGATGATAAGCAAATACATGTAAATATGCTGGCACAGCATACTAAATTTACTATGCGATGACAAATAACACGCAGACTGACACATGGTGTGATCCACAAATATCTAACAACTTTATTAGCAGATTTGATATTGTTTAAAATCGATGAAGAATGGTGAACAGGTTAATTTTGGGAGTGTGAAAAGTGGCGAATTATAATCAAAAGATTTTCAGGTCTAAATTGTCTGAAAAGACTTTTGAACAAGCTTTAGTGAAAGGTGAACATGCACAACACTGCTCACAAGGGATGCTTTGAGGACACAAAGACAATACTTTGCTCTGAGTTACAGTCCCATCATTGACTTATCAAAATATGCAGTTATTATAACATAAAATTATAAAATATTATAAAATATTATTATAAAATAAGCAGTTATTATAAACCCAAAATAGGGAGTTTTAAATGTGACAGATCTGATCCATCACGCAAGTCTACATCGATGCATATCGTGTGGTGTATTCATCATCTCCTGTCAAATAATGTTGTGGTCAAGCATAAAACCAGCATATGCCTGATCTGCAGGTGGTCACAGCTGGACCCCCGTCTTACCATTTCTGAATCTATTCCACAAAGATATGACAGGGATTTGAGCTGCTGTAAGATATTTCCCATTTCGTCCCATTGGTGGAAAGAATGATGTCTGGCACGGTAAACAAAGTAAGAGTAAGGCTCCTAAATAAAGCATGAAATTGACAGGATGCCTGTCTAAGTGAAGAGCCACAGAGCCAGCGGCCCCTGGTGCAGCACACAGCTCCAGCTGCTCACCTCCAGACTTCACACCACCCATTTGGATTTCCATTAAAGTGCCCGGCTCTCTGAGTCAATACTTTTAATGCAGAAAATGACTTTATTTTTCATTATAAGCACCATATTTAAAAATCTGCCTACACAAAAAAGCTGCTCATTTTTCCGCCTCTCCACAGATGAATTTGCATACATTGGACCACAGAAGAAAAAGACGAGGAGGAAGAAGAAGAACTTTCCCCATTTCAGACATTTGGTCATGGTAGTGTTGGAGTATGGGATAAAAAGGAATAACCAATTTACTTCACTGTGCGTCAGCTTTCAAAACCTCGTTGAAAAATCTCGACACGTCGCACATTTATAACCCTGCAGATTATTTGGTGACTGACGTGTAAGTTGATGAAGATTTATGTATTTGGTTTCAAATGTGTGTGTGTGTTCTTTTATTGTGTGTCTGATTGTGCTCCCCGAGAGTGCAAAGCAGAAATCAGGAAGAACGTATATTTTAGGAAAGCCTTTAACTCACCAGGGAACTGGTAGCTGTAGCTTGGTGCGAATCCAGTGTATCCTCGACCATACGTTGCCACAATGTTAGGGTAACCTTTGATAAAGAAAGAAAGAAAAAAACAGCTGATAAAAGAACTAAATGTAATCTGTAAATTACAAGTTACACAAGAAATACTGATTATTTCTCATGTTAGTAGGATATATTTTCATTGCATGCTTTAAACCCAATGAAGAGGTGTTATGTATGTATTTACAGCTCATTATGTTGCCTGAAAAACATTCAGTTTAACAATGAGTAGCGCTCTTAATCAATGAACGTCTTTCATGTTTGAGCCTTTAATCTTGATTGTGCTGCTTTTGTTGTTTCTTCTAAAGGACTTTGTTTCAGGACTGCCGTCAGATAGGACAGTAATTAATTAAAACAATGAATTGTTTTCATAAAATACAAGGATAGCCAAGAAATCCTGACGTTTATAGTCATTTTCCAAAAGGGGAAGATATGAGGAATTAAAATTATAGCATTAAAAACTGCTTGAATTTTACAAAATGTCACAAAATTTAACAATCCTATTGATGGCTGTTGAACTTTGTGAGTGTGCTACAGCTCTCTAGGGATCACGGCGCTCAGCCTCCTTGGAAAAGTTTATCCCAGCAAGTTGAAGGAGAGGCTCCCACAAATTGTAAACCCTCAGATTCAGGAGGTGCAGCGCAGCTTTCATCCTGGCTGTGGAACAGAGAGGATCAGATCTTTACCCTAACAAGAGTTGCTCAAGTGGTCATGGGAAATTGACTGTCCAGTAAACATGTACTTTGTGAGTCCAGAGAAGGTTTGTGAGTGTGTTCCAGCATTCTGTGGGGGGGTGCAGCGAGAGTAAGGGATCTCGGGGTCACAACCAAAGAAAGAGCTGGTCTGCAGTCTTGATACAAAGTTTGTCTTGTTCCTGAAGCAGGCTGAACTCCACCCAGGCTGCCTATTGTTTCTGATTTTGTTCATTGTGTGACATGAAGGTGCTGTTATGGGGACGAGGATGTCATATTTGGGAACCTCAAGGTCTCATCTCTGCTTTTTGCCGATGATTTTTTTTTACACCGACCTTCAACCTGCACTAAGGTGGTTCAAAGCCAAGTGTGAAATGGCAGGGGCGAGTCAGCTTCTCCAAGTCTGAGGTCATGGTTCAGAACTGGGAAAAGGTGGGTTACTCCTGTTGAGTTGGGAAAGAGTCTCTGCCTCAAAGAGATGTGTTTCAGTATCTGCAATGTTCGTTCCCGAGTGATGGTAGAAGATGAATATATAGATCTGGGCCTCATCCACTGTAACAAAGGTGTTGCTCTGGTCTGCTGTGGGGAAGAAGGAGCTGAGCCAAAAGGCAAAACTCTTACTTTACTGGATGGTAAATTAAAACCATGATCTATGGTAATGAAATGTGGATTATTCCTGAAAGACGAGATCTTAAATACAAGTGGCTGAACTGCGCTTTTGCTGTAGAAAATCTGGGCTCAGACGCAGAGATAAGGTGAGGAGCTCCATCATCTAGTGAGCGAGGTGAGTTCTGAGTAGAGCTGCTGCTCCTCTGCATCTAAAGGAGTCAGCTGAGGTGGTGCAGACATCTGATTGAGGTCTCTGGGGAACCACCCTTTGGAGGTTTTCTGACCATCTAGGAGGAGACTCAGATTTCTCTGAAGGGATTATGTATCCTCTCTGGCCTGAGAACACATTGGGGTCTTCAAGAAGCTGGACAGTGGACCATGGACAGGAGGCAGACAATGGATGGACAGATGAATGGATGAATAAGTGTAAGAACAGATGAACAGATAGATAATTACATTTTTGGTAGCGCCTTAAAAACACCATAGAAGTTCATTAACAGTGTTTTTGTGTTTAAACGGCCTGACCTTCATGCATTTATGTTTTCCATCTCCTTTGGGGCTGAATGCCGAGAGCCAGTTTAAGATTTTCTACATTAAAATAATTTAGGTTTTTATTTGCTCTTTTATGTACACTCCTGTTGTAGTCACAAGCTCTCAGACGTTTTTTTTTTATAACAAGTAATAACATTTGATGACAGGCTCCTAAAAATGATGTCACCCTTTTTTATTTTCTGTAGCTTTGTTTTTGAAGAAAAGTTCATATTTAAATACGTTTTATTATGTCTAATTAACAGCAGCACACAAAACACGATATTTAGATGTGATTTATTTTATTCAGGTGAACAGTGTTTTTACCATTAAATAAAATTAAATCAACTACAGCTTTTTCAACGTGTTATCAGGAGCGTTAGGATATCAAAGGCTAGGTCAGCTGTGTATAAACATCAAATGAAAGCGCATGATTTTTGCATAACTAATCAATAGTCAAGTTAATTTACAATTTTTACAAGCAATCTTTTTATTTTAATAAAATGATTTTAGAGTAAAACTGAACAGGCATCAATGCACATCATTACTCAAGAGAAGGTAATCTAAGTTGTTCTATATTTTGCATAAAAGCATAAATACAAGTTACTACGGGTACCTGGATGTCCAAACAAAGCATGAATACACATGAAATTATTGCTTTAGGAGCGGCAGCGCTTAAAAATAGAATCACTGCCAGGGTGGAGGTCATAATGGAAAATAAATGAGGTGTAATTTTTGATGTGTCTGTGTGTTTTCTCCCTAATAGTCTTTGCTCTAAATCTTTTGTAAACAAACTTGAAAATTGTGAACTACGTTAAAATTAAATTTGGATCTGATTGTTTATCAATTTTATTGTCTGTACTGCTCATATTCAGACCACAGCACTATAAGTATCTTATTTCTGTTGCCATACAAAGAAAAAATAAAATAAAATATCTTACAAACATTACAATATTTTTTTCTATCAGCATGATCTTAGGCTGGAAATGTCTTAAAAGTTTAACCAGACACTTCAGAGACTGTTGTTTTTTTTATGAAGTGAAAATTTACCTTTGATGTTACTGAAGCAAGCAGCCCAATGAAATGACACCAACAATCCATCCATCCATCCATCATCCATCCATCCATCCATCCATCCATCCATCCATCCATCCATCCATCATCTTTTACCCGCTTCTTCCATTTTGGGTCACGGGGGTCGCTGGTGCCCATGTCCAGCAATCACTGTGCGAGGGGCGGGGTACACCCTGGACGGGTCGCAAGTCCATCACAGGGACACATAGAGACAAACAACCATTCACTCGCTCACTCACACCTAGGGACAATTTAGAGTTACCAATCAGCCTAACATGCATGTTTTTGGTCTGTGGGAGGAAACCAGAGTACCCAGAGAAAATCTATGCATGCATGGAGAGAACATGCAGACTCCACCCAGAAAGAATGGGAGGCGAACCCGCAAACGTTGGTTACGTACTGTAACCCCAGATTCTATGAATATAGGCGTAGCCCTTTAAGGCTGTCGCTGATGGGTTTATCCCGTTATGCGTAGCATAAGCACTGAAAAAAATTTAGTCCACGCCCACCTGCTGAGTGGGCCCCACCCTGTCCGTATAAATTACGTTAAGAGCGGGAAATCGGCTCCCAAAATAGCTTTTTCTTCAGCCATTTAGGAGCCAGTGAGGCCCGACGCTTAAAGGGCTACGCCTATATTCATAGAATCTGGGGTTACAGTACGTAACCAACGTTCTATGTCATATAGGCTTCGCCCTTTAAGGCTGTCGCTGATGGGTTAAGGGCGAAGCGGATGTGGTCCTCGCCTCACTGGGTCCATTCGAACACAGTAAGAAGCGGAAGCTTGCCCAAAAAACGTCTTGTCACTCAGCTCCCCGTGTGCATAACTACGCATCGCGTAATTATGTGCCATGCACAGACGCATGTTGTTTAACTATGCGTTCTGACAAAGCATGAACGCCCCGGAAAACTTTCAACGGGGAGAAGATGTTGAAAAGAGGGGGGGGGGGGGGGGGGTGGCATGAACCAACTGGTTCATGGCTGAACAGTATAAACAGATTAATATCAATGAACTGATTATTGATCAAATGAACTGATTGGTAACAATAGTCATGAACTGATTAGTGACAATAGAACCAAAATCACAGACACAACTTGTGACTGATAACAACATCTCACACTGTAATGCATGCAGACAGAAGTGAGCTTAAACAGAGTTCCATGAGAACAACAATATTCATTCTGTTAGAGCACTAAGGACAGAATGTGTCATGGAACGAGCCGTTACATCACATAGGTAAAAGCGAATAAATGAGCAGGGTGTTGACCATGCAGCCACAGTGCAATGTCCTGCATTGACATACCATTATGCAGAGCAGTCGAAGATGCGATACCCCTGGTGGAGTGTGCTTTGAGGTTGACAGGAGGCTCTAAATCTGATGCTCTGTAGGCTTCAGAAATGGCCTCACACAGCCAGTGTGACAAGCGCTGGGTGGATAACGGGCGACCTGCAGATGCATCTCTATAATGCACAAACAATTGTTGAATTTGACGCATTACAGCTGTGCGCGCTATGTAATACGTCAACGCCCGCACCGGACAGAGAAGATGAAAAGATGCTTCTTCTTCTGATCTGTGGGGGGGTGGAGAAACCCCTCCAACGATATCACTCTTGATTTAAAAGAGCTTGTGATGTTTTAGGCATAAAAGCTGGGTTTGGTCTTAAATCAGCTGAGCTGCCCGTCAGCTTGAATTCCAAGGCATGACGGAGCAACAGAGAGGGCAGATAAATTACTTACGCTCTTAGCGGGTGTTAAAGCCAGCAGCAGGGCTGTTTTAAGAGACAAGAATTTAAATGAAAACCTGATCCAGAGGCTCAAATGGAGCTTTGATCAGGGCTCGCAGGACCAGCGTTAAATCCCACTGTGGAGCAAGTGGGCGTGAATCAGGCCTGCGTCTCTGTACACCTTTTAGAAAAACGCTTCATCAGCGGGTGATTAAAAGCTGTTCTGTCTCCGAACCCTTCGTGGCAGGAAGAGATGACTGCAACGTACGTTATAAACGTACTGAATGCCAACTTCCTATCCATCAGCTGTTGTAGAAAAGACAACACGCCGCCTAATGGGCATGAGGTGGCCTCTAAACCTTTCTCTGTACACCAGCGCTGAAAAGCCGTCCCCTTTGATG